TCAAGCCGAACACGATGCAGCCGCAGCCGGAGACGGAGGCGGTCAAGGAGTGGATCAGCAAGATACAGTTTGTGTTGTCAGGCTCGCTGCACGGTGGCGCCCTCGTCGCCTCCTATCCCTTCGACAACACACCCAGTGCTAGTAAATATACATTAATCTTTCTTATATTAAGTGTAGAAATATTTCTATTACATGTTTATAACATGTGCCTACAAATTTAAAGCAATATTGTGTCAATTTACACGCTGCATCACACAGGAATATGCAGATCTTCTGTTTTATGCGCCGGTAAAGTATTATACATTCATATTTGAATTTTGTGTTCTATGTTTTATATTGTCTTTCACTCAAATATATAAACGTAGAAACTTATTACTTTACCTATTGTTTTACATAAGGTGTTCGATCGAAAATAAGATTCAATAAAATGACGAGTAAAGGATATGTGTTACTTGGAAATTTATCTTTTTTTTTCGTCCACATGTCCCCTCAACGCAGTGTTCCAAAGATACACACCGACGCCGTCTATCGCGCCGGACGACGACGTCTTCCGTCACCTGTCGCTGGTCTACTCCAAGAACCACGCCAAGATGTCGCGAGGCGTGTCCTGCAGGTCTCACGTGCCCAGCTTCAAGGACGGCATCACTAACGGTGCCGCCTGGTATCCGCTTACAGGTATTAAAAATAGCTATGCAACATCATAGGTTTAAACTTTAAATTTCAACACTATCATGACCAATTCATTGCAGATATTAAGCTGAAGAAATTTTTTCAAGAAGGAACACTTATTATTACTAGTTTAACCAAGTCTTTTTCTACAAGGAAACTTACTTTAAAAAAACTTTCAGGTGGAATGCAGGACTACAACTACTTGTGGCACGGGTGTATGGAAATAACTTTGGAAATTTCGTGTTGCAAATATCCACCAGCGCACGAACTGCCCAAGTATTGGGCCGACAACCAACAGGTTATTATTTCTTTACTAATATTTTTCATTACATTCAGAACCTATAAAAGTGCCGAACTTACAGGATTTCAAAAGGAATAAAAACAAAAATTTTAAGTCACGGTTTAATTAAAATGTATAAAATGAAAAAAAGATAACAATAAGATTATTTGTGTTTCATGTTCTTAATATCACATTTTTCTGTTATTCTGGAATAAATATTATAAATATCGCATTAAATATTTAAGTACATAGTTGCACTAAAAACAAGTTGCCCTAGAACAAACTTGATAATATTATAATTATATTATAACAATAAAACGTGTACCGTTTTGCATTATTTACCGATAACAAAAGCGACAGCGAATACAAGCAGAGATAATGAAGGAAGAATAGATACGGATGAGTTCCAAGGGCCCGAAGGGGAACGTATGCCTATCACTCCACAAGCTACCCTCGGGCCAGCGTTCCCGGTGTTAAGGGAAGCCTCATTTCCTCCCAAGCCAAGATCGTCCTCCTGCTCGTGAAGGACCAATGTTCGTCCGATAATGCTATTTCGACCACGGAGCGAAATAATATTGTCCACAAAGTCAATATTTGCCACTGGATTTTCGTTCCCAACGAATTGTACGTTTCCTAAATCGCCAACATGTCGTACTGAATGGTCTCGCCCTCCGTGCGTGTTGTCGTCAGGGTCGAAGTGGGCACCGGCCGCGTCACATGTACTCGTATCCCCCAATTCGTGCACATGGAAACCGTACTTTCCAACGTCCAAACCAGTTATAGTACCACTAACACGAATTCCATTTGCCGTTTCCGTAAACGTTATGCTGCCGGTCACATTGTGTGATATCAGGTGAGCTATTGCAACTCTATTTTCACTTCGTATTTCAACCGCTAAACAAATAACCACTAAAGAAGTGAAAAGTTTTGCGCACATTTTAACACCGTTATATTTAACTACTATATGTAAATGAAAATATTTATGAGGCCGCGCACATTCATTGAGTTTAAAGATTAGATATGACTTATCTTAAAGATTTAAAAATATTTTTTGTGTTTTATTGATTACGAATAAATTTATCAAAGATAAATCACTAATGCGTAAAGCTCGCATTATTCTTGTGATTACAATAAAACTACTAAAAAAATCTTCGTAAAACATACCTTTATCTCAGTACGGAGATTATAAAGAGAAAAAAATTGAATTGGAACACTTAACTTAAAACAGGACTTTAAGAGCCTCTTAATAGATGTTTCAACACATATAAGAGAAATGTAATGTTAATCAGGCGTTGATCAAATACCTGGCGGAGGCTCACCGCGGCGCGCACGGCTTCGTAATGGACGAGAACGGCAACCCAGTGGAGCGCGCGTCCGTCAGAGTTAAGGGCCGTGACGTCACCTACCACACCACCAAGTACGGAGAGTTCTGGCGCATACTCTTGCCCGGCACCTACCGCCTTGATGTAAGTCTACTTTATAATATTAATACTTACAAGGTCTTCACTCATTTATTACGTATTTTTACATAGACCTTTGCCCGTTTTATAGAAACATCTGAGTCACAGTCAATTCTTTTGATTTAAGATATGTTTTAATTCGATAATAGATCACTTATTTATTTTATTAGGTGTCAGCAGAGGGCTACATACCACAAGAAGTAGAATTTATTGTCATTGACAGCCATCCCACTCTGTTAAATGTAACTCTTCACTCCGCTAAAGTAAGTACAACATATAAAACCTGTTAACAATACTAAAATATTGAACACCTTTGTAATTTTTATAAAACACACTTAACCTTTGTACAAATAAATAATTCTGTAAATATCTAAAGTCATCAGCCACGTAAAAATTTAGAACAATTAAAATAAACTTAAGTGTCTATTTTAGGATTTACACAGCTGATGCGCTACCTTATCAAGTTTCCCTTTACCAACAACGTTTCTTAAATTTGATACACATGTAAATATGACTTGCATAACACAATATGGTGATTTATCGCCTTCGACTAGTTGGAGAGAAGCCGCACTTCGTTGCCGAGGCAGAAGCCCGTCTCCCTCCACGCCGCCGAAAGTCGCAACACTACTTGGTCTTTCCCGAAATAATAATCATTTGGTAAATTTACGATATCATGGGCACCTCAAAGCTCATTATACAATACTCAACTCATTATTAAAAGCTTTGTGTGATTCATTCTGCTACGTATGATTTTCATTATTTGATTTTCCGCTATTGCGTTTTGTTATAAATTTTTTTCAGCAACATTACCAAGCTATCAGGTTTAGTTCAAACAATGATCACTACTTAGGTTATCCTAAATATTATATCGTACAGCATAATACATATATGGATGGAATATGGATTATTTTACAAGATTATTAGGACTAACTTTTTTTTATAAACGCTTGTTAACAATGTCAGCAAAGGAATACTTGTACTAACCATGGATTTCTGAGACTAAAATCTTCGTTTACATATTGTTACCTCTGTTTTGTCGAAGATAACGACAAGGATGATGATATTTTTATACAGAAACTTTGGTCTCAGAAACCAACGTTAAATAATTTAGCGTGAAAAGTGCTTTTAATAATCGCGCATCATTGTTATAGCATGCTATTTGGTAGCGAAGCTTTTTTAATCTGTATTCATTGTTGTTTTTAAGCTTTGTATTGTATTACGTTAATGACAAATATCGCTAACACGCCTAGATAAAACACTGCATTGCATGCGTATTGCAAAATTTTCAATTAATTAGTAGTAATAACATAATATAGTAATTACATATAATAATTAAAAACTTGACGCAATCGGCATGCAATTGCGAAAAATATTAATGATGTTCACATTTTAATTTTGCCAACAGAAATTTATGCAAACACATAATTAAAATACTTTCTTGTTGTTCTAGTTGATTTTTGCATTTTTTGTTGTCCATTATACGTGGGACCTTATTAAGTTCTGTCCTGAAACCTTGTTGGACGCTGGATGTACTATGCCTATAACTTCATTATATACAAATTTTGTCCCTTACAAACGTCAAAATTGTCTTAGGCCAGTCCGAAAGTTATACAAAATTTTTAGACGGCCATTTTGTAAAATCAAAGTTTACCTGACAGCTTTAAAATAACACTGCGAATAAACTATTGTATTAATTCTAATAATTTATACTATATTGACATCTAAAAATTCCTCTGATTAAAATAGAAATAAATGTTTTTAAATTCAAAACTGGCGATAAATATCTGAACGACAGAACCTAAGAGGCGAACCACCTATTATTAAATGAAAAAGAAATAAATACAATCTTTTCATATTTTTAAACAAAAAATTAACAATTAACGATTGCATTACAGCGTATCGACAACGGAGGATACTACCGGCCGCTGGTGCCGCGCCCACCGCCTGCGCCCGCGCCGGGCTTCTTTGCCTCCATCACAAACTCCTTCCAAAACCTCGTCAGCAATTTCCTTGGATAAATATAAAATACACAACCTTCATTTACAATTGTTAATATATTATCACATGTTTTTCTCATTGGCAGCTACATGAAACGAAATGTATTTTAACCGTAGGTTTCCATTACTGGGATACTTCCACATAAACAAACTATCATCGTCGTTCTTTCTCTTAAAAAAATAGGCAGTGAGAGATAAAAATATATATATCTAAGTATATTAACAACAATATATTTATTTATGTTGTTTTTATGGCAGTGGGAATTCACGCTACTTACGGTTAACAAGTTCGTAAAATTAAAAAATTAAATTAAAAAAAAAATTATATAACAGTTAATTGAACAATTAGCAGCTTGCTGTGGGTTTTTGAGACAAAAATCTCTACATAAAACATATCGCCATCCCTGTCATTACCTTTGACAAAAAAGACATGTTTTAAACGGGGACTTTGGGGTCAGAAACTCACGGTTAGAGAGGCCAATATGCTATGTATCCTTGCAGGTATTTAAATAATCTTACGTTTGTTCCTAATTATAAGTGCACATAAATTTCCTTATAATGTTAAGTTAATGTTACAGTAATTCATTATGATTAAAAAGTTACCAACGATAAAATAACAAGATAATTTTTAATAAAGAGTTTCAAGTCAAATTAAATATTCTCGAGCAACTTTAAAATGTAACAAAAAAAAGATACTACAATGTTAGCCTTAGATGTTATTCGATACATATAAAATGTATTTAATGTAGATAAGCTATTCTTTATAGACTTTAAAGACTGTAAATATTATAAGTTACGCAAGATTAATTTATTTAGTTTTAGTGAAATAAACTCATAAAAAATATTTGACTTTTACATTTTACACCTTCGTATTTCATAGACGCATCGAAAGTGCCTTTTTCTGCAATTAAAGGTACGCGTCCATTGGCTCGCGCCGGCCGCACCGTAAGCATTAGAAAGATAAGCATAAAGTTGCTGGTTTACTTGTGCTACTTTATACCAAAAACCTGATTTAAAGTTTTGATTAAAAATGTTTTGGCAATTATAGAATAACGATAATTGATACTGTTATATTTCCCCGCTATTAGCAGAACAGGTCACTTCTAAAACGGCAGTGATAATAACCGCTTGGCACATTTAGATAAAACATTTTTATTACTATTTAAAGATATCAGTGCGAAGATATTTTCAATCATAGGAGGTGTTTCCTAACGTCAATAAATTAAAAATAAAGAAATACTTATAAAAATAAAACAGGTGTGTTGAGTTCAACGTGCATAATTGAGTTTGATATAAAACGGTATGTATTACGATTATTTTGCTCAGATATTCGCATCCCAAATATCTATGGGGAAATTTTCAGGGGTCACCTATTAAGTTGATGACCGAATAATCCTAACAATTTTATTCTCAATGCGAATTATTGTAGCTTCACCTAGTTCTTAACATGGGATAATCGACTAAAATTTATGACCTGCAGATCAGTGAACCGGCTCGAAGCCTAGCTCAATGTATATCTACAGTTAATTTGCGTTCGAGCTGCGAACTGCCAGTCATGAGCCGGCTCGCGGCTAAACGACTCAGAGAAATGTACAGAGCGATAAGCTGTGAGCTACCAAAATAGTTGTTGAACCGCAGCTCAACGGTTCAAGTTTAAGTGAGCTGAACTTTTGAACAGGTTCAAAGCTGATTTACGTATACCTAGCTTCACTCCTTATTTTCGCTATGTTATGCTGCTAAACGTGTAATTTTAAAATTATTTGAAAGTTTTATATTAAATGTAATTGTTACTATATTTCAGTTGCAGATTTACTGGATAATGATATTTAAATATTTGTTAATATTTTCTTTATTTAAATTGGTTAAACCGTATAACTATCGAATAGTTAATACAACTACAGGGCCAGTCAGAGGTATTTTGAAAGATTGGCAGGATTTAAAATATTACACATATCTAGGTATTCCATATGCAGAAAAACCTACAGGCCAGCTACGATTTATGGTAACCATTATTTCAAAGGTTTATTTTATAAAAAATAGCTTTTTAATTGCTCATCTGCCTAATATATTACCTATAGTCTATTTTACGAATGAACGAATTCAAACAAATGTTTGAATATTGCAGCCTCCAGTTCCAAAAAGGCCATGGTCACATGTATTCGAAGCAACACGCGAAGGCTCTTCATGTCCGCAAGGATCAGAAAAGTATGAGCGGTACCAAACGGACGAAGATTGTTTATTCCTGAATATATATGTGCCACAAAATACTACGAATAACAAATTGTCGGTACTATTTTTCGTGCACGGAGGCACATTTCGTTTGCTATCCGGCAATAGTGACGTAATATATGGACCGCAATTTTTTCTAGAACAAAATATTATATTTGTTTCAATGAACTACAGGTAAATTGATCATAATATCTGAATAACTAATTGTTTTTAAAATTTCTAATGTCATTTTAATTTTTAGGTTAGGATCGCTTGGATTCCTATCACTAGATACAGTAGGAGCACCTGGTAACGCAGCTTTAAAAGACGTAGTATTATCTTTGAAATGGATAAACGAAAACATCGAACGTTTCGGTGGTGATCGAAAAAAAATAACAATTGGTGGCCACAGCAGCGGTGCAACGATGATACATTATTTATTGGTATCTAAACAATCTGCCGATTTGTTTCAACGCGCAATTATGATCAGCGGCAACGCCGTGAATCCCAGATCAGTGGCAAGGTATCCCAAAGACAACGCTTACATATTGGCCAAAGAACTCGGCTTGGACACAAACGATGACCAACTTCTACTTAAGAAACTCAAAGAAGTAGATGTTTTCGACATTATAGATGCAGAAGTGAAATTAACCAAATACGACGAACTTGTTCTACGTCCATTCTCTTTTTTTCTTCCAACTGTTGAAAAGGAATCTTCTCACGCAATCGTCACTTCAGATCCTATAAATTTAAGTTTGCATGAGAATGTGTCAATTTTTTCTGGTTTTAATGACAGAGAAGGCATATACATCATACCAAAAATACTTAAAAATGTGACGAATTTGAAAAAACTAATTGATGATATAGAACTGTGTATACCGTCCAATATAGAATATCCACTTAATTCAAAAATATCTCTAGATTTGGGTAAATCGATCAGAGAACGTTATTTTAACAGTGACTTATCCAACTTTACTTTAAGTAACATTGTAGATTTAGCGTCTGATTCACACTTTATTTACGGAATAGACGCATGGATCAAAAAGAAGAAAGGAATCAACAAAAGCAACGCTTTGTATTATTACATGTTCAGCTTTGATGGAGATCTTAATTGGTCGAAAATAAATTATGACATACATTTCCCAGGAACCGCCCATGCAGATGAAATGGGTTACATATTTGTCACTAAGAATACAGAATTGCTTTTAAATAACATCAGCAGTAAGAGTCGATCGGTTCTAAACACTTGGATTACATTATTATGCAACTTTATAAAATTTGGGTAAGCAACTTTTTATATAGAGATTGTGATTTTGGTTGATTACCCACTTGAGTCTCGAAAACAAGCTGTTCCTGACAAGTTAAGATCTACGTTAAATTAATTAAATAAAGTGAAAATTAAAAGACAGGCACTGGATTATATATTTTTAATTGTTTCAGAAATCCCACACCAGAAGGCAGTAGCTTCATCTGGCCGAGATATGACAAAAATAGATCAATGCTCATTATAAGCGAAAACCCAAAGGAAGGAAGGGTTACAAATCCGCTTCATGACAGACTAAACTTTTGGTATAATGTTTATGAAAAGTATGACCGATACGTAAAAGATGGCGGCGAACTGGAGAAAAAATGTATAGCGTAACCAAAAAGGACAAAGACATTACTATATTTATTTTATGAGAAACTAATAATAGTGTAATAAATTTTATCAAACATATTATTCATATTATTTTAATAAATAAAAATATGTAAAAAACATGATTAAACCCAGACTAGACAAATATAAGTTAATTTGATAACTCTTAGTAGAGTTGGGTACTGTAAAATAGATTATGAATTTCTTATAGTGATTATGCCATTATGATACGAAACATGATGCAAAGACTGTTTTTTGTCTTTAAAGTAAATGTAAACAGAAAAAAAAGTATAAATACAATTAATTGAGTGATACCCAAATATCTTTAATATTTACAAAGAAAACTTATTATAATTACTTAAATGATACATTTTTGTTCGATTTATTTATTAACGTAATATATACTGCCAATTAATACAGTCACGATCCAATGCGAGTAATGTGCACGTTGATCGAATTTATATACCTACAACGAAGGATCATTTTCATGAAAATATCCAACCCGGTATACGACTGTGTAAATAATAATTATGTCTTGTGAATGGGTATTATCATGGCGGATTAGCGTGCATTGTTATACTACAGTCCACTTTAAGTTTTGTGCTCATGTAGACATGGTTCTATAATGTTTTTAATCGCAGTGTTAATCTATATCTTATTGTGTTTGAACGTTTCTGCTTCAAACGAACAAAGAATAATTAAAACAACTAGCGGTCCCGTAAGAGGTCGCTTACAACAATATGATGATATTTCGTACTATTCCTACGAAGGAATACCTTACGCGGAAAATCCTACAGGATCCCTTAGATTTCGGGTAATACTTATTTTTATATTATATATTAGACTAGGTCTGGATCTTTGTGACCATTATGAGCATGTCCATGGCCTATTAACATCGCTATTGCGACAATTCCTTTTCTATGTAACTTCACCAGAAGACTTTTTCATAATTACAAAGTAAGTGGGTGCCCTAAAACTTTTTAATGCCTGGATTAACCTCCTTATTAAATGACAATATTGTAAAAAATTTTTGTTCCGTATTAATTTAAAATTAGAGGTTTATTGTTTTCAAAACGCGGAACAACTGAACAAACAACTGAATATTGTACACCATTAAATCTTTTTGCATTCGGACACCGAATAAAAAAATAGAATAAATTAAATAAAATTGAATAAATTAAATTGTATTAAGAAATATAGTATTTCGTATTTACTTCGATAAAGTTCGTTGGAAATTTTCAACTACATCATAGGCAACAGCAGGGGAATTATTGGAAATAATCGCTGGATTCAGCTGGACTACTTTCATACTGATGGTACGCAGTTTGTAGTTGGTTCCTATATTAAATATATGAATTTCTATTTGTACTTAATTACATACTCAGAAATTTTCCAAAAATAACATAATATGTCTGCCAGTTATCTTAATATAATATAATCAAGAATGATCTAATGATATCACTTCGTTTGTTTTAACTGCTGTTTCAAGTTTATTTTGTATACTCGACAGCCACCGATTCCGAGGCGGCCATGGACCAATGTGTTTAATGCAACTCAAATTCCCCCCGTATGTCCGCAAATACCCGTGAAATATACAAAAAACGAAATGAGTGAAGACTGTTTACGCTTAAATATCTTTGTACCGGCGTGCCGTACTGACGAAATATTGCCAGTTCTAGTGTTTGTACATGGAGGTGCATTTCACTTAATCTCTGGAAACACGGATTTAATATACGGACCTGGGTTTCTCATGGAAAGGGGTATCGTCTTTGTTACTATGAACTATAGGTAACCTTTGTGTTTATTTATCTTGTACCCATACTGCACTTTATGAGTACGATTTTTTTTAATTTATTGCAATGCAAAACCCTAATTCATGTTTAATTTTAATTTTAGGTTGGGAATTTTAGGATTTATGTCACTTGATATCGAAAGTGCTTCTGGTAACGCCGGTCTAAAGGATATTTTACTGGCATTGGAATGGATAAAGGCAAACATTGAAAGGTTTGGAGGTAGCAGCGATAACATTACCATAGGCGGCAACAGTTCCGGTGCTTCCATACTCAATTACTTATTAATGATAAAACAATCATCGGGTTTATTTCATAAAGCGATATTATTCAGTGGCAGTGCTTTAAGTTATAGAGTTCTAGCAAAGCATCCTGTGGAAAATGCATTAATAATGGCCAAGACCGTCTGCCCTAATGAAGAGGACAAAGAGTCGATACTAAAATGTTTAAGACAGGCTGACGTATTCGACATCGTAAAATCTTTCGAACTAATGAGAAAAGGGAATACGAATCCTCTAAGACCTTATACACCATTTTTACCGAATGTAGAAAAAGAGTTTGTGCATGCAGTTCTTACTAAACCCCCAATAGAAATTTTACAATCCCACCAGTTGCAAAATATTCCTGTTTTAGCAGGATTCAACAGCAATGAAGGAATTTATATGGCCTCAGGAACTTTTAGGTATCCTGATCGTGTGTTAAAAATTTTAAGAAAAAATATTGAATTGACTATACCTTCCAATATCGAATATCCTCTCGGTTCTGAAAAATCAATGGCATTGGCAAAATCTATTGTTAAATTTTATTTTGGAGATGAACATTTTTCAAATTGGACATTAAGCAATGCTTTCGACTTCATATCAGACACACATTACGTCTACGGTGTTGACTTGTGGATTAACATGCACAAGGAAAGAAAAGACAGCAATAAAGTTTACTATTATTATTTTGACTTTGATGGAGCTTTGAATTGGTATAAAATATATTATAATATAACTTTCCCTGGAGCAAGCCATGCAGACGATTTAGGATATGTTTTCATTACAAATGTAACAAAACCAAAACTAGAGACGGCTGACAGGAGGAGCTTGGAAGCATTAGATGTAATGCTAACTGTTATCACTAACTTCGTCGAATTCGGGTAAGTATTTTCAAAAAAGAAATTGGTTGATAAGCTAGCTTTAAAATTGGTGTTGGCCCTTACTTCAGTCAGACGTTAAGTCCACAATAGGTAAAGGGAAAGCTTCTACATTAACAATTACTTATATTACTTAACATAATATCTTATCGCTTCTAAAAAATTATGTTAGATATATTAATTTCAGGAATCCTACACCAAAAAACTCTTCGGAATTTATATGGCCGGAATATGGTACTGATCGAAAAATGCTACTTTTAAACGATAAACCATGTGTTATTAAAATGGATCCTAGAATTCGAAGAAGGATGAACTTTTGGAATGACATCTATAATGAGTATCGCCATTATGTTGCTAATGGCGGTGTAACAGAAAATAAAATAACGCCCTAAAATTTCTTCAATTCATAGTTCTATATTTATATTTTTCATTTTGCGGGTTTTTTTTTTATTAAACGGCTCAAGTTCACTCAAGATACAATGGAGATGGCAATAATCCAACACACTCTGCCAGTTCGTCTTAGAATTTATGTAACCCGCGACAATCCGACATTGTTTAAAAAATTACAACTTGTTCGAGGATAGAACCGCATGAGTAATTTGTACTGATAACTTACAAATACTCGACTAAGACCAAGTATTCAACCGATTTCTTGACATACTACTCGACCGACTACCCGAGCAACTACTCGACTAACTTCTTAACCAAATCCTTTCAACCTTAGAACCATCCAACCCAACTATAACAAGGGAAGTGTCAAATGTAATCAATAAACAGACCATAGGTAAACAGTAAACTTTTATTAATGAACGTAAATACACTCAAGAGTTGGCTATAGCAGTGATATCGATCTGTTGCCTGGCGAGGTGGAAAGCGGCGATGAGGGCGGCCAGCTCGATACGTTCGCTGCACCCGCTCGCCAGCCGCGCCTCCGAATCCGCCATCTTGATTAATAGAGATATCAAGACGTCCGGCGGGAATTTCACTAAACATTATCATTCATAGACAAATTTTAATGCCAGCATTAAGCTACAAACATTGTCATGGTTACATCAAACACGACATCGGTTATAATTATAACGGTATATTACTTACCTCTTTGAATTTTTGTATGAATCTCTGTTAAAATGTCGCCAAGTGCTAATCCTTTTAATATTTTCAAGTCTTGAATAACTGTAAATTATTATATTAAGAAACATCATCCAAAGTAGCGGTAAATCAACTAGATTAGAACAAGAAATTGTTATTATAGCATTCCTAAACAACTTCTGTTCGGTACCGACAACGGACTAACTATACTCGAGTGAAACCTTGCCTACGACTACAAAAAGGATACATTTGAAGCATACCCCAAAGTCGTCTTCATTCATGAGCCTGGTGAGAATGCTATCGATGTCGGCACGCAGCGGGTGTCCGACGCACGTGTAGACGGTGTCCTCGGTGACATTACGCGCCGAAAGCCAAGTACTCTGCAGCGTATTAAGCACCTTACGCATATCCCCGCCGGACAACTCAAGCAGCGCCTGAATACCGTCTTCTGATATTTTTACACTGAAAAATTTATCTTACTTCTTACTAATATTATAAATGCGAATGTTTAGATGGATATGTGGATATATGGAAGGGTATTTGTTTGAAGGTATCTCCAGAACAGCTGAACGAATCTCAATGGAATTTTGCATATATAAAGAACAATAGTCTAGAAGAACACATAGGCTACTAATGTTTTTTTTATTCCGCGCGCACTGAGTGGCTGTCGACTGCTAGTATTCTTTGCCACATGAAGAATTGGTTTGCCCTAAATTAACAAAGAACTGAAAAACTTTCACATACTAAGGAAACCATTTTCATGTAGGTTTAAGCTGTTTTTATTTATTTGTGTTTAATGTAAATTGGTCATAAAGCCAAAAAAATCTGTTTGATAGAATTAACAGATCTCTATCCCGTGTAGAGTAACACGCAAAAAAAACAAAGAGTCTGCTTACTTTTCTTTTTCAACGATATCCCGTAGCCTTGGTACGATCTGAACGTGTTGTAGAGGGGCGAACCTAAAGCGAGTGCATCGCGACTGTAGCGCAGGTATTATCTTGCCGAGGTAGTTGCAGATTATACAGAAGCGAACGTTATCCGTGTACTTCTCTATTACTGAAAACCAATCAAGGAGAAACTAAACGATTGCGATAGATGACTTATACTTTGCTCTTTACATAATTCTTAGTGCTGTGAAAGTTGGATTAACATCATCTTGCTGTTATTATCCCACTATATGAGCATATATGAAGTAGATAGAATGTCTAATAGCTACTTTAAATAATTGTTTACCACACTATTAATATATATATATATATATATATATATATATATATATATATATATATATATATATATATATATATATATATATATATATATAAATCAATTGTTGTTCATTAGTCTCGCTAAAACTCGAGAACGGCTGAACGGATTTATCTTATCTTAGTTTTGAAATGTTCGTGGAGGTCTAGGGAAAGTTTAAAATGTGAGAAAAATTCGAATAATTGCCAGGAACTAATTAAGTCTTTTTTTTTCATTCCACGACAACGGATTCGCGTGCGACAGCTAGTTAAATATAAAATATGATATAATAAAAGGATTTTTCATATTTTTATATAATTTATTATCATTGAACAGAACAGATTGAGGACGAAGCTTTTCTTTGTATTTTTCTAAGAGTTTTTCTATTCATTATTAAAGGCGATGTCGGTACTCCATCAGGTTGTGATGCATCTTTGGAAAGTTCTAACTCAGTTTCTAACTTAATAGGAACTGTTACGTGCGAACTTGGCACTGGCAACCTTAGCACTCGAGCAATCAGATCAGTAAATGCATAGTTCACCTGAAAAAAAAAACTAAGAATTGTATTATTATTGTTTTTTTCTATAGTTAATGTAATAGCCATAGACTTAGAACCAGAACAAAAGTGCGTGCGTGACTAAAAATATCTAAAGAGGTTTCTTTTCTTCTTTTTAAAAGACATAACTGGTTAGTTATGTCTTTTAAAAGATATAAAAAGAAATGAAATTCTTATAATGTATTGATATTCTAGACAATAACACTTGTTTACCATTTCCCCAGTCCTGGCTGATCCTTTAAAATTTTCCAATAGATATTTCGATGCTAATTGCTTTACACAGGACAATCGAACGGCTCTTTGATGTTCCAAATCCGATTTATTACCAAACAATGCCATCAACGGTTTCTTAGGTTCTTCATCGAAAATCTCTTTCACCTTCTCTATCCACACATTTAACTTGTCAAAGCTTTGCAAATTTGACAAATCGTACACAAATAACACTACCTGGAAAATAATTAATGTTAATTATTGATAATTTGCGTAATAATTGTGAGTTGGAAGTAAAGTTATGAAATACTAGCAATCACACGCGAGTCTGTCTGCGCGGGATTAAAAAAAACCTTAGTGAGTAGGGTTTTACATCTGTGCCAAATTTCATCATGATCCATTGATCCATTTCATAGATATCTACAAACAAACATCCATCCATCCATCTAAACATTCCCATTTATAATATTAGTAAGATGTTACTTGTTAAATTATATGTTTAAAAAAAATTGTAGTAAAAATTTTAACAATGTTCAATAATAAAAAATTTGTATTTAACACTAACATCGGACGCATACAAGTAGTTTCGAAGCATTCCAGTAGAGAGGCTGTTGCCTGCAACATCGCACAAATGCAGTGGCACTGGAGGGCGCAGGCCTAGACACTGCCCTGCGAGCACTTCAGCTCCATGTGTAGTGCCACCTGGTGCTCGAGGACTATTGCTCAAATATCGCTGACATAAACTACTCTAAAACGGAAACTCTTAATATATTCTCAATAAGTAAAATACATAGTAAAATTCTAATTGTTTACTTACTTTTCCTGTAAAAGGTTCTCCAAGAATTGTGATTTTCACTGTTGTGTGGTGAAACTGATCATCTTCAGTATCAGACATTGTGTCCTCAAATTCATTTTAAAAATTCGAATGAATTAAAACCATAATTCATTACAATTAAAAATTAATTTCACTTGCGTAACATAATTTTATTTCTTCAAACTTTTTTAAAGAAAACATCCAATACTAAAAAGATACTATAATATTTAAAATAAATTAATCAATTAAACATTTCAATGAATGCCTATTAGAACTTCAATAAAATTGAATGTTTTCATTAATCATCTCTATAGCAACCGTACCATAAATATGGTAAACGAACATTCATTCATGAAAATTGTTAGTAAGAATGATAAACATTTTAAAATCTGACCTTGCCTACATTAATTCTAATATAAAGCTTACGTCTAGACAGGGATGGGGAACCAATGGCACACAATTTTTATATACACTATGAAAAAAGTGAGAAGTGCGTATATGATGAGCAATGAGCTAGTAATCACTATTCTATAGAATGTTCCCAATAATAAAAAGACAAGATTATTTAATGGCACATCATGGATTTCATTAAATCTTTAAAAAATATCATGTTGAAACATAAAGGTTTACCATCCATGTCTTTAGAGATAAAAACATCAAAACAATTGATAAATAATTATTATATTAAAAACGAAAGTAACTTACTTCTTCTCAAAGCATTTTGTGCATCATTTGTCATTGCATCAGCTTCATCTAAAATTATGAGTTTGGGACCTGCCTTGAATATTGTTCTTGTTGAAGCAAAACTGAGGATTTGTCCTCTTACAATTCCAATTCCTCTGTCATCAGATGCATTCAATTCAAGTACCTGGAATTACACAAAGTTATAATCTCTTAAACTACGGAAAAGGATGCCATAGTAAAATGATCATGGGTTACTTAACACCTTCAATGCCACTATAATTTTTATACAGTCAGTCAACTTATAGGTTACTGGGAGTATCATGGGATGTGTTAAATCAGGCAGAATTGTATTTTCATGATAATTTATAAGGTTTAAAATAATTTATATCTGCAAACATTCACAAGCTCACAAAAATCAGCAGCAGATAACTTAATTTATCTGTTATCTACTTACCATAGAATTAAATTGCTGTGGAGTATACATTTGTTTGGCACAAGCTAAAATTGTTGATGTCTTCCCTGTGCCCGGTGGCCCATAAAATAAAAGATGTGGCAATTGATTTTCTTTCATAAATTGACCAACTTAAATGAACAAAACAAAAACACGTTATAGTCAATGGTGCCGAGAGATGAGAGTTTAGTACTACTATTTCGTTTCTTAAAACACTTACTAGTCTTTATAATATCATCGTGGGAAACTAAGTCTTCTAACTTCGAAGGCCTGTATTTTTCAACCCTGTTTAAAAGATATGACGATGAAGTATTAATAAAATAATAGATGTATAAAAAATTGATGTCGGCTTGAAGATACTGCATCAAAGTACTAACCATGGTAAATTTTTTCCCGATTCTCCCACGGTCATTTTGCCGGAGTTTTTGCTTTTTAGGGGCGCCTAAATAAATTAATAGTTTGAACAAAATTACAAATACTTATGGCATTTAAATAAAAAAACATAAAACCCCACTTCGCGCCGAAATTATGAAATTTGACTTTGACACAAATGTCAGCCGAGCTTAGCAAAGAGTAGATATAAAATAGCTTAGATTAGAAAATCCAACAGATAGAGTATAAAAGATGAATGTGACGGTAACGCATTTGGCAATTGAAAAAAAACATTCTGTAAAGCTTCTTCACACATTCTGGTACTCCTCAGGGCTGAGTCCCCTTTGCCTTGGCATGCACATTAAAAAGCACCCTGCGACTGCATCTCATATTATGGTAAATTAATGACATTAGTTTCTTTAATATTTCTACGTATGGGGTTTGTTAATAACACGGTATAAAAAGGTAATTGAACTTTATTTCATAAATTATGTGGTATATTATACATTATCTTATCATATTTTTGGAAATATATTCTTCCATATCAACCCTTGAAATTCCGACTTTTGGTTGTCCTTCGAATATCGGAATGGCAGCAGCTTCCCAAGGCCACAAAACTCGACTAGCATACGTGGATAACATGTCTAAGCGTGCCTCTCCTAAAAGATGAAATTCGTTTTTTTGTTCTCTGTCTTTCCCTAACTTGAAATAATACTTGCATCCTTGACTTTTTGATATTTGTGCTTTCCAGGGGTCTAAAAAATACAAAAAGAATGTTGTTATAAAAAAAAAGTATGTTGATGATCAATACTTGACGTATTTTTACGGCTCACCTCTGATTTCTTTCATAAACAGCACTGATCCTACTACATAGTATTTCTCTTTACCACTGCTCCTCATCGGTACTTTAGTGGCGATAACTTTATTCCCTCTTTTCATAGTTCTATATTCTAAATTACACACAACAGATGCAAAGTTTTCCATGTTAAAGAATCTCTTACATCGAAGCGCTACATTGCTGGATTGTTTTTCCAAATCGCCAGAATACTTCTCTATAGCAGTGCAAAACAAATTGCATTGATTTATTCTAGAACAAAATTTAACAAAACTTAAAAGTGAAAAATCATCTGAGCTGTTTATTTATGTATTGGTACAGAAAATACATACCTGTCCGTTAATGACATATGTGAAATGTCAATACCACCAAGCATTAAAGCATCAATGACATGTATTGCTTTACTGAAATGTTGACTAAGTCCTTGTCCACAGTACTCCTTAGCAAGCTAAAAAAAACAATTAGGTACAAATTATAATGTACAACTTTAATATAAAAAGTTTTTATGTAATATTTTTGGTTAATATCACCCTGTCCTTTTCCCACCAATGTTAAATTGATACTGTGTATTTATTGACATTTTGTTTGTTTATTATATTAAATATAGTTTAAAACAAAGCGGAATCCATACCTCACCATAAAAAAGTGTTTTTGGAGGCAAAGTTATATAGGTCTGCAAATCACCAAGATTTCTCCAACCTGTTTTATCCAATTGAAACACTCTTTTACCTCCGCACCCTAAAATGAAGGCAATGATAAAAAGCGTCAATACAAGTTTTTTTATTATTAAAAATAATTATATCAAGCAGCTAAAATATAAGCCAACAAACAATTTATTTAAATAAAATTTAATAAATTACCTAAAAACATTTTCGTGTCGTTACTGTTTTTTTCGCTGCTCAAAAATGTAAAATGCCAGTCATAGACATTACTCAGTATTCCTATATCAGATATCTTCTCTAAGTACGCTGGCTGTTTGCTCAACACAACACTTTTGAATGAATGCGCATTAGGCGCATCCGAAGTGCGCTTGTCCATACCATTTAATATTCTCATCATTGTTTCGTCAGGGTTCAATCTTTCTGGCTGGGTCCTTACTTTATCTGGCAACTAAAATAAGTTTCAAAACTATATTTCACATTATTATGACTAGCATTGACTGCCAGTGGAGAATATAAAAAAGTGACCTATAATTTTTCCATTTAAACTTGTAATAATTAAAATTGTTACCTAAAAATTTATAGAGATGCATACAATAAACTTACTTGCCACAGTTTCAAACATTCAGATCTCATGGTCGCTTGACTATTTTCTACTAAATTTTTGTCTTTGCTAAATGCAGCTATTTTGAGTAGGTTCTCAATTTGATTCTCCCCAAGCCTGTCAAGAAAATAATAATTAGTCTAAATAAACGTTACATATTATACAATTAGCATAATTAAAGATTAAAAGAAGTAAGTCTTTTTGAATTTGAAATCCAATTTTTCATTGTTTGAATATTTCGCGTTCATAAAGTTCAATATAAAGAAAGCATATAAGAATTATGTATAAAGAAAAAGATTGGAGAAGTTACTTGTATTAAGTACGAACATGCAGTTGCTTTTGTAAATATATTCAAAGAACTCCGTGTCTTCTTGCAGTACAGATAGGGGGACAAGCGATGTGATGTCTTTCTCCTTGTCCAGCTCTCTCCACAGCATGGAGTTGACTGAGAACAGATGCTGTTCCACTGACTCCGTGCCCGACTTCTTCCATTTACATACTAAGTATCTTTCTGAATTAGCAGGTCTTGAAGTAACCGGCTTATGGATAGACACTAAAATAAAATGTATTCATGCTTAAAAATTTAATTTTAAAAAATGTTGAAGACAAGACAGACAAAGGTGACAATTTGGCCGCCCGCGATAAGTAGCCTACGTTCTACATATATGACAAATTTCAGTGAGATCCATTAACTCGTTCTGGAGACACATACATCATTCCATACATCTAAAACTATCCAATAAAAATAAGAATTTCAACCAGCAACATATATTTTGTTTCAGTTCAAAATTACCTTTTTCGAAGCATCGGTACATAATATAAATGAGGCTAACGCTAAATTGCGTGAATACATCGAACAGTTTCACCACAAAATTGCCGCCTGTCCTCACGAGCATCAAGGCAGCGATACATTGGCACAAATAAAGCTGCTTAGAGAGGATCTCTTGTATATTTTCTTGCCCTTCTACAGAAAATCCCTGCAAAAAAATCATTATCAATACAAACGTAATTAAAAGTAATATTTAACTTTAAAAAAAAGAATCCGACATGCTTACATGCTTCAATGAGTTTGGAATGAGATGGTTGGTTTAAGTGGAATTAAAAGGTTGAATTTTTGGTTTATTACAAAAAACATTGACTTACACCATCAGCCATAAGAAAATGTACGCCTTGATCATCTGTTTGACTCAGGACGAAATCTTTTAATGACGTCAGATTGGCTGGATCAAAAATATTACCGTCTTCTTTAACGCCATAATAAGGATTGAACGTCTCAGGCGTACCGGCGTAAAAATCCGACAGTTTGAAGTCTTTTGTCCCTTTCAATGTAAAACCGAAACCTAAAATACAGATAAAGTCAACATGTTTTTATCTAATAATGATAAATAACTATAAAAATTAGTATATCATTTAGTTGTCACAATATAACTGGCTTGTTTTGCTATTGAATGAATCTTGTTGATAATTACCGCCCTATATTCATTTATTTGTTCAAATTGTCCTATAAAGCAAACCCATCAAAACATATCTGTCATACAACTATATCAAACATTTACTGTCAAACACTTGTATACCCTAACCAAGAACATAAAAATCATGACCTAGGGTGCTTGCTTCTTTACTATAACAGTTTTTAATGTATGCAACAAAATTAGTTTTTCCATATTTTTTCGTTGTAGAGCTGTTTGTTTTTTTATAGACTATAACATATTGTTAACCCTATTCTCTTTGAATAACATTATGTTTTTGTGCATGAATTTCAGAAATGGACACAAAAATACCAAAATCAAACATACCGTTAGATGGCCAGTAATATCAACTTATTATTATTACTAACAGTAAATTAAAATCTAATATATATTTACAATGAATTGTTTCATAAAAATATTTTTTATCATAAAAGAAAAATAAAATAAACCATGATTCTGCTGTTTACAATTTGCCAGTTGTTTATACAATACTATAGCAAGTGATTTTACAGTCTGGCCTTATTTACAATTTTATGGTGACATTTACAAATTTATAATATTTTAATTCTCAAAATAACCATCTAGTTCAAATGATATTCAACAAGTCAAACTAGTTAGCATTTACTTTCTAAAAAACTATAATATTCTACTATTTATTGACTTACACAGAACCATATAGTCTATTGTTGGAAACGGCATGTGGCCCGTCATTGTTATCATGGACCTTAGCAAAACAACAATACCAGAGTTTATTTTTTGCAATACATTTGTCTACCTTTATAATCTTGTATTAAGAAAGATAGTAAAAAATCTTTAATTATATGCCCAGTAGACATGTTTGAATCAGCTCTAAACTGATTCAAAAATTCAGCTTAAATAGGACTTAAAAAGTCGAGCTGATCAAAATTGCCAGCTCATCTTTATAACAGACATGATTTGTTGTAATAACTGTTTAAAACACATTTCATGGCACCATTAACAATTATAAACCTAATTTATTTATTAAAACATAATGCAGCATTACCTTTAGCACGCCAGCCTTTTCGATATAGAACATATTCAGAGAAACCTCCAGGACCAGCACAAACATCAGCAAAATACAGCAAATCTTTGTTACCAACTGCCGGTTCTCCAGTCAATTTTGTGGGTTTGGTGAACATGAAATCAAATACTGCATCCATGTTGGCCATTTTAACAGCTGCACGGTTCAAAAAGATGACAGCACCAATTGTTTCATACGGATTACTACGGAATCGTGCATGTTTTAAGTCTTGATAATCCAAATTGTTGAAGATAGTCTGAATATTAAAATTAGTTATATTACCAACATTTAATAATTAAGCAGATAACTTTTGAAAACATAATTTTTGGCACATTATTAAAACCTTAAAAACTCAATATATATAAAAGAATAAAAGGTTATACCTTAGATTTTAAAATGCCTTGCAATATGCGTGGTTCCACAAAGTTGGTTTCATCCTCAATTGTCAATTTTTTAGGACCAATTTGTAGCCATTCTTGTAAGACAGCACCAGAAAGGGGTTCTGACGGTGATGATGGCAACCATAGCTAGAATTGTAACATTGATTGAAATAAAGTAAAAAGAGAAA